ATGCTCCTCTCGGGATCTTGGGCACGCACGCGCATGCACCTAGCATGAGGTTAAGCCACCGGGTCCGGGACTTGAACCTCGGTCGTCTACATGGGAGTCCAGCTACATAGCCATTATGCCAACTGCTGGTCCCAAATTTTAGACTTTTAATAGTGACCAAAAAAAGTCCTATGTGGCCAAAATTAATTATTTAATTTAATTAAATAAACATTGCTTGGGACCCACACTAGGTGCCTCAGTCTCTTGCAGACTGAACTGCACTGCTGTAAGTCACATGACCTACTACAGGTTCAGACCCAGGTTAGCCTGAACACCTTCTGGGCACATTCAGACACCCCAGATCCTGAGGAGCTGGAGGGTTGGGAAAAGGAGATCATGGCATGACGAGACCCTGTCTAGTATCCTTCCTCTCTCCCTCTCTCTCTCTTTCACTCTCTCTCAAAACACCACCTAACTGCCCAGCACTTTTTCTTGTCACTTTCATCCTTGTCCACAGGAGGGCAGCAAATTCCACCTGCCAGGAGTCTCCCAAGAGGTGATCTTCAGCAGGGCCCATAGGCCAGCAAGGTGTGACCGACCCCAGTGACCCCTCAGGTTACGGGCTCCCATGCTCTCAGCACTGTCCCATGTGCACTCCGGCTCCCGCCCTACCAGGCACCTGCCCACTGAAGGCTGTGTCCTCTGCAAGGCAGCCCCTTCGCCCACCCTCTTCGTCCTTCCCAGGGAGCATCCACTCAGCCTCAGGTCTCAGTGAAAGGGCCCTTCCCAGGGGGCTCCCTGTGCTCCTCAGACAGTTCAGCCCAGCACCGTCTCCGATGCCCACACGCCGCCCCGTCACCAATCCTCCTCTCCATCGGAATTAACCCATAGCTCCTTGGTGATCACCGAGTGCCTGTATCCTCCATGAGGGACACTCCATGAGGGCAGGGACCACGTCTGTCGTGTTCTGCACGAGCCCAGTCCAGTGCCTGACACGTCACAGATGCTCAATGAACACGTGTTACACAAATGGGGAAGCCACGCCATGGAAGCACATCGCCTCCGTGTGACACCTGAGGTCACACGTGTTCCGTGTGGACATGGAGACAGTGGCTCAGCACACAGGGAGGACAGCAACTGCCCACACTGCCCAGCCCTTTCTTACACTCGTACCAGCAGGAGTGCCGACAGGGCCCACTGAACAGTGAGGGGTCTGAGCGAGGGCGATTCCTGGTGTTCGGGGATCAGCCTCCCAGGCCGGGCCCCTCTCCATGAAGCCTAAGGGACACCTCCCTGGCCCTGCTGCAAACCCTCAGGGACAGGTGGCCCCTCCTGAGGCAGCACATGCCCAGGCGCCAGATCTCCAGCCCTGGACCAGGAGTCCCCTGGTCAGTGCCCATCCTCTCCATGGGCTCACCCTGGAGACCCACGTGTGAACAGGGCCCGGCTGACCTGCCCCTGCAGCCTGGAGGTCAGAGCCCACCTCTGATAAGGGACACCTCCCTGGCCCTGCTGCAAAGCCTCAGGGACAGGTGGCTCCTCCTGAGGCAGCACATGCCCAGGCGCCAGATCTCCAGCACTAGATCAGGAGTCCTCTGGTCATTGCCTATCCTCTCCATGGGCTCACCCCGGAGACCCACGTGTGAACAGGGCCCGGCTGACCTGCCCCTGCAGCCTGGAGGTCAGAGCCCACCTCTGCCAGGGCTCAGGGCCAGCTCTCCACCTGGAGTCTGCTCAGCTCCCTGGTGCAGCTCCTGAGACTGGCTGCAGGTCTCCTCGTGCCCTCCAGGGGGCGACCTTGGGACACAGAGCCAGCGGTCAGGAGCTCAGTTTTCCTGAGACCAGAGCGTGGCTTGGGCAAGGAGGTGGAGATGGAGCCTGATTTCCACCCCTTGCTCCAACAGGCCCTCCTGGTCCCTGCCACTGCCTGCTCTGGTCCTCCCTGGGGCTCTGAGGACGCTGCCCTGCCAGGGCTTCCTGTGCAGCCCCACTCCCTCTTGCACCAGCTATGTGGGGAGGTGGGATGACCTCGGGAGGTCAGCCAGGGAGAGGTCAGTGACCACCCAGGATGGTCGGGAGAACTTGGGGAGGCCCTGAGCCACAGCTCAGCCCACATGGAGTCGGGGGCTTCCTGAAACGTCCCCATGACAGCCAGCCCATGGACCTCCAACTTCCCCACCACAGTCCTCTCTCCCCTGCCACTCAAGATACCTCCCCTCCACACCCAGGACCTGCCACTTCTCCTGGGTCTCTGTTTTGGGTCTCTGTCCCCAGACCAGAGCCCAGGCTGGTGAGACCAGAGAAGGAAGGACGCTCTCCCACCCCACTCCTCATTAGACTGTCCTTTTCTGTCCCCAGCCCTCTGTGCCACCTTCCTGCCATTTCAATCCAATCTTCCCAGGGCATTTGAAAACACTGGCAAGATCCAGGTGCCCAGGTGGGTTTCTGTGTCACAAGTTTTCCCAGGGCATTTGAAAACACTGGGAAGATTCAGGTGCCCAGGTGGGTTTCTGTGTCACAAGGGGAAGAATCCCCCTGGTTAGGGGACCTCCTGGTCTCTCTGTGTGGTACTGACAGACCACGCCCAGAACACAGCAGGAGTCAGTGTTGAGGTGGGAGGGTCTTCTTCTAGGAGACAGGGATCCTCATCAGTCTTGATTCTCAAAGAGAATTGTAGACAGAGGGAAACTGGAAAGAAGAGGGAGGCAGGACTCAGCGGGGAGGGCACAGGGTGGCCTCCTGGGCAGACCCCGCCCCCAGCCCACGTGACCCTGGGAAGTACTCCTGCCCTGGGAGGAGGCTCAGCACAGAGGGAGGAAGCACAGCAGAGCGGCCCCTGCACAGCAGCAACCTGAGCCGTCTCTGAGGCCAGAGCTCTTCCCACAGAGGGAGGACAGCACAGGCAGCATGGCCATGGAGTGCCCCTCAGCTCTTCTCCACAGGGAGTGCGTCCCCTGGCAGAGGCTCCTGCTGGCAGGTGAGGAGGAGGATTCCCTGGGATGGGTGGGAGGAGGGGAGCACAAGACTGGCCAGGGTCTCCTAGTGTAGACAGAGCTCTGAGAGGGCACACAGGACTTCTTTCTGGAGTTGTCAGGGAGAGGACACAAAGGAGGGAGAGTGGGTGAGCAACAGGAAATCTCAGTGACCTGAACTTTCTAAGAGGCAGAAAAATGTCAATTGTCCCGTTTTCCATGTTACTCAACTCTGGCATCTACATTTGGCAAAATGATAATGATAACTATATGAGGGTGGAATTCCAAACAAAAACAGAACCAGGCACAAAAAATTACAGTCACCCACCAACCTGTGCTGCCTGGAACACTCATTAATTCACACAGGTACTTGCAGCCTGTTCCTGTCATCAGGATACAACAAAGATCAGACAAGCCCCTGTCCTCACGGAACTCTCCTGCTAGTGGGGTGGAGGCAGTGAAGATCAAGGGTGTGAGGTCAGGGATCAATGAGGGTCAGGGAAGGCACAGAGCAGGTCAAAGTCTGAGGGTGAAGACCCAGGGTCTCTACGGAAGGTTGTCAGAAAAGGAAGGTCCCAAGGACACCCTCACATGTGAGCAGGAACCTGAGGGCATTGAGGGCCAAGCCGTGTGGACACCAGGGGGAGAGCATTCCACATGGAGGAAATGACAAGTTCAGAGGTGCTGGAGGAACAATAGTCACCCTGCTGCCCTGGAGCTTGTAGGGGCACACCAAAAAATAGACATGAACACATATACACATACACACACACATACAAACACACCAAGGCTAAGAGTTGAAGAGATCTGCTCAAGATGTAGGGCCCCATCTTTGCATCTCAATACGTAGGTCCATATTGACTGATTTCTCTCTTCTCCCTCCCAGTCTCACTTTTAACCTTCTGGCACCTGCCCATCACTGCCCAACTCAGTATCAAATCGGAGCCGTTCAATGCCACCCAAGGGAAGGATGTTCTACTAAGTGTTTACAATGCATCAGTGGATGTTAGCGGGTACCAATGGTACAGAGGGGAAAGGGTGGACAAGAGCCAACTAATTTTACAATATGAGATGAATTCTCAAAAAGTCACTGAAGGACTTCAATATAGCGGTCGAGAGGAAATATTCTCCAATGGATCCCTGCTCCTCCATAATGTCAGCCAAGACGATGCAGGATTCTACACCATACAAACCGTAACTGGCATTGAAACTGACCAAGCAATTGGACAATTCCGCGTATTCTGTGAGTAACTCCTCTGTGATCTCTGGGTTTGGGGATGTGGTTAATGCTACTTCACACACCTCAGCAGGATTATCAGGCCCAGACTGTGCCTACACCCCGCCCCCTACATGTATCCTCATCCTGACATTTAAGCATTTAGTGGAGGGAGATGAATTTCAAAATATCAGAATTTCTTACTCAACAATTCTGACCTGCCAGACATTCACAGCAGAGAGGGGCCAGTCAGATGGAGAAATTCACCAGGGCAAGATTAGTCTCAGTCCAGCACCCCCCTGCCCCAGGCCCTTCCCTGTGAACTTGTCCATGAGAAAGACCCTGCGAGATTTAATCACGGCATTTCCTGGGGGCCCTCTGAATCCTCCTAGAAAAGCTTAACTCTGGGAACCCCTACCTCAGGCCTGTCGACACCAGTCACTTGACTCCCCTTGAACTTGGGAGCCTGTTCTCAAGGCTAGGTTTTGGCCCCTTGGTCAGGCCTGGCGGAGAGTAAAGATTTTCCAACTGCCCGAGTCTCTCTTGGAGCTGGTCAGCAGCCAGAGCTGGGCCCAATGACCCACATCTGGGCAAAGACAGTCTCGTCCTACATCTGACACACAGCATGGAGAGGACAGATGGACAAGTTCCCAGGACATTTGCTAGCTACCGTGGGGGACATCAGAAGGCCAGCAGGCCCAGGGAATTTTTTGCTCCGGACCACCAGGAAGCAGAGTTAAGGAAGCCTGTCTTGGAGGCGAATATGAATGGACGCTGTTTATTCAGACAGCACTTCTCCACCAAGCCTAAGTCAGGCCATTGTGAATATTTTAACGTTAACTGACAGACAATATGGCGAGCCAGATCCCATTTACCATTCATCCTGTTTTATTAAAGGGAAACTTTAATCAAGGTCACACAGAACATGGGTGGCAGATGAGCCCCTCGAAATCTGTCTGCAGCCTTAGTCCTGTCCTCTCCTAAACCCCCAGGGCCTTACAAAGTATATATGGACCCCAAGGCCAGTGACTGACCCAGATCCTCTCTTTTTAAGCATCAGCAGATCAGAGAGAGAGAGATTCTGATCTGGAGTGGGGGGCAATGTAAACAATTTTACTCTAGAACAATGTCACCTGCTTTAATGATCAGTGTCAATGTGAGGAATGTCCAGGCTCCCATCTCAGCTGAGGGTGATCCATACCCTCCTTCACTGGACTTGAACCCGTTCTCTGTTTCCTGATGTGCTGGGTTCACTCCTCTGGAAGATAAAAGAATGTCTTTGCTGTCCCCCTCCCCTTGCCATCCCCTGCAGCCAGCAGTGTCCAACGTGTGATAAACTCTAAGTAGTTCTAGGATGAAGGGGGAAGGAATGAATGGTGAATGAATGAACGAAAGATCCATGATCTATACAGAGGCTGGACCCAATGCGGGATCCTGGCCACACCTCTTCCCTGTCCCTCTAGGTTGGAGACTCCCGTTCCCTTAGACCCTGCCCAACCTCAATGAATTTGATCAAACTCTAGTTGTGTTTCCTGAGACAAAAAGAAAAGAAAGCATTTCGCATGCCTGAGTTGGGCTCCTCCTCCTTTTGCCTGACTCTCCCTAGGAGTTAGTGACACGGATCTCTTTTCTGTATTTACAAACCTAACATTTACCATCGCTCCCAAGTTGCTCCTCCATCTATGTAACTGAGACACCTCGGACTCTATGACAGTTCTGTCCTTAACAGGACTCACAGGTCTCTGCCTGGGTGTCACTGCAACCCAACTTGAGGCTCTGCTTCTTCCTCTGTCACAGTGCATGGGGCACCGCTGGCCTTCGGGCTGTGGACTAAGACCTTACTGTGCTTTCTCAGGAAGTGTTCCTCTCAGCAACTGCTCTTAGATTCTTAGGGAGCAACTATAATTTTCAAAATATTTCCAATTTTCACATGGAAGAAATTTATTTTATTTTTTAAAGAATTATTTATTTATTTAATTCCATTAGTTGTTATTATTATTTTTTTAATTGGAGTAGCAAGAGACACAGAGAGAAAGGAAAAGTGAGAAAACAAGTATCAGATCCAGGACTGGAACCCCAGCTGGCCATGTGGGAGCCCAGTGACCTAACCACCCTGCCGCCTGCCTGTGAGGATTGCAGGTTATTGTTAAGCTGGAAGAAATTTAGTTGCCCCTCAAATTTGTATTTCATAGCAACAAGACACGGTGCAGAGGGGGAAAAGTGGACAGGAGCCAACAAATTTTACTGTATGAGGCGAATTCTCAAAGAGTCACTGAAGGACCTCCATAGAGCGGTCGAGAGACAATATTCTCCAATGGATCTTGTGGACCTTGTCCACGAAGGTCACAAAGGTCCAGGAAGTTCATGGTCCCCACTTTCAGACATTCACCTCTCCTGGAATTGTGAACGACCTGTTCTATTTCAGGAAGGATCAGCATGGCCCTCACCTGCCCTCTGAGTAGGAGAAGGGACTTGAACGTGCAAGGACAGAGAACGTGGCTCTGCTCCAAACACCCCAGCTTCTGCCTGCCCCCTCCGCCCTTTCCTAGATCGCTTCGTGGACTCTGCTCTAGCTTTCGGGTGGTCACCGCTTGTGACAGTCCCCACACCCGGGCACAGCTGCCCCTCCTGGCAGGGAGCACTGGGCTTGCTCCTGGTCTCTGTGTTGTCCCTACCCCCACGTGCAGTCCTCCCGCGCTCCTCTCTAGGAGGTCCAGGGAAGGCGGCCTCGAGAAAACACACCTGGGCTGGGCAGGGCAGGACTGTGCAGCCAGAAGGGACTCAGCACCCCCTGGTCCCCAGGGTGGTCAGGCAGGGAGCCAGTCAGTGAGCACCTGAACAGGTCCCCAGGGATCTCTGACTCTCCGTCCTCGGTGCGTCCACACCCAGACCCGGCTGCTTATCCCACAGCTGAGAAGGTCCATGCTCCCCACACACAGCAGGCGGCCCCAGGTGCACCGAGGGCCAGGTCGTCAGCGTCCGGCTGAGACACACCCGTGCCTTGGTCTTTTAAGGACTCAGGGTGGCTGAGAGGTGAGAGCTGCCACCGCTGATTGAAGGCTGCCTGGGGAGGACTCAAAGGTACCAACAGGGAATCTTCTCTCTATTGTCTTCACAGTGGAACTGCCCAAACCCTTCATCACTAGCAACAACTCCGACCCTATGGAGGGTGAGAACTCTGTAACACTCACCTGTGAGCCTGAGACTCCGGACACAACCTACCGCTGGTGGATAAATGGTACGAGCCTCCCGGACAGTGACAGGATAGCGCTGACCAAGGACAACAGGACTCTCACTTTACTCAATGTCACGAGGAATGACACAGGACCCTATGAGTGTGAAACTCAGAACCCAGTGAGCACCAACCGCAGTGACCCCGTCTTCCTGAATGTTTCCTGTGAGTAACTTCTGCTCCTCCGTGGCCCGGGCTGCCCACCCAATTCCACACAGCCAGGGACAGGGCCACTTAGGCCTTCTGTAGCCCAAATTCACAGACCCTCAACCTTGGACACCCAGGCTGGCCATGACTGCCTGCCCCCCAGGTAACCCCAGGCAGGCCCAGCCTGGAGCCAAGACCAGGAGGGAAGGGCCTGCTCTTGTCTTTAGAGGCTCAGGGTGGACAATCTGTGATGGGAGAAACAGGTTAATGTCTCAGACTCAGGCTCTGCAAACACAGGCGGTGATGGCTGGGAACTTTTAGAGCAAGGTTGTGACACAGCTCAGGGGGATCCCGTGACCCTTCTACAGACCAGGAATGTCCCCTTCCTCTGATGACATTACATTTTGCTTTACTCTCTTTGTTCCAGATGGCCCGGACCCTCCCACCATTTCTCCCCCAGACTCGAATTATCCTCCAGGATCAAACCTCAGCCTCTCCTGCCACGCAGCCTCTAAACCACCTGCACAGTAATGCAAATGATAGTGGATCCTACATCTGCCTCGCCCATAACTCAGTCACCGGCCTCAATAGAACCACAGTCAAGAATATCACAGTCCTTGGTAAGTTAGTCCCTGGAGCACTGGCCTTGAGTTCAGGGGTTAAGTTTGTTGGTTTTCAGAAAAAGATCCGGAAGAAATTCCTTCCCACCCTGTGTCCCACAGGCACAAGCGAACCCCAGATCCTCTCCCTGAGCCCTCCAACCCTGTCCTTGCAGACTCTCTCCTCCTCTAGCTTCTCTGCTTTCTCATGGCAGACCTTGGATCCTGCCCCAAAGTGGGTGGGGCTTCCTCAGCCCCAGAGAGCCCCAGTAGTGGGAGGGGCTTCACAGAAGGGGAAGGGAGAAGGGTCCTCAGGGTCACATTGATTCTGTCACTGACTCATCCCTTTCTGTCACCTCTTGTTGTCTTTTCCGTCCTCCATGAGCCACAAGAACATAAGAAGCTCTGAATCAGGCTCACAC